TGCATAGGCCATCTCTTATTTTAAAAACAGAATCTCTTATTGAAATGTAACCTGTTTGAAACAGGCCGGCCATCTGCTTCCCCATACAACAGACCTATTGTTTCTTATGGTGTCTGCTAGGGGTACTGTGCTGCTCACCTCTCTCTGCTATCAGAGACACCTAGACAGCACCAAAATCATAGGCTGTAAAAAAGTGCTCCCTCTACTTGGGGCCTGAAGCTGAAGTCCAGGTCCCTAGCCAGGTCCATTTTTTTTGGGGAAAGGCACACCTCTGCACTCTGTGCCAACTAATGGTAGAGTCCCTTCTGACTTCAAGAGCAAAGAATGGTCCTGGTGCAACTACAGTGTACAGTGCAGAGCCCCAGAGTGACCCAACTTTTAGCTGGAAAAAGAAAAACTTGTAATGGATTCAGGAGAAAAAGTCACTAAAACTTCAAAGATCTTCCCATGCCTGCTCTAGCAGTGTACCAACAATCATGACATGAACACTAATCTCCTAAAAATGCAACCAGAGAAGCCAATGGTCTTCATGGCCAGCAATAACCTTCTGTTCTGGGTTCCCATTTCTCATCGACCATTTACAAAGTGTTCCCAAAAGTGTTTCTAAGTGTGATTGTAATGCACAATAAATGAAGAGGCTGTACCTAGGCTGTAAGAATAACCTTTACTTGTAAAACACAAGGAGTGCCATGGTTGTGTAAGCTTGCCTATTTTGGTGGCAGCACTGGTAGCACTGTCATTGAGTGTCCCAAGAGCAGCACTGGAACTGCACCATGTTCTCTAGCCATTCACACATGGGGTAGCCTCAGATCCCTAGAGACTTCTGCACAATCTGCTGGGCAATCTTGTAAAACCACTCCTGTTAGTCCCACCAAACTTTGGAAGTATCCATGCTTAACTCCACTTCTGTTGTCACCACTGACAGCAACAGAGGGATCTTCTCCACATTCCACACCAGGTTTCACTTCTTAAATCTGCTCTTGTAAGTCCAGTGGGGTCATTGCCCGGCTTGTGGAGGATGGAGATGAAGTCTCTGCCATTTGGGTCGATGTTGCGACAGAACATCTCACAAGTGCACATCATCTTCTGAGGACTCAGTGGGTAGTCAAGTGAGAAACTCATGATGCCAAGAGAAACACCAAACTCAAAACTGGTATTTTGGGGGCCCATGATCCATGCCTCTCATTCAAAAAAATTCTCTTCACTCATGGGGCCTGTCACAATTCTTTCTGAAGAATTCAGAGTTAGTTGCTTGTACTTGGCCTTCAGCCTCTTGAGCCTTTGTCCCGTGATGTTTGCAGTAGCTGCATCGCCACTTCTACTCACCTGCATCCCAGCACTGGGGGGAGAAGTCTTTCAAGGGAAATTTTGTCAGATTAAAAAAAAATGCTTTATATCTCTAAAAATAGTCTGTCTCTTCCAGTTATACCACATTTGGATCCCTGGACCAAAGGTAAATTCAAATAAAATCTATTCAATTTTTTGCTCATCCTCCCATTGTGTTGTTCTGTCGTATTTGCTGAAGAATCCACGTTGTCCAATCATGATTTTTGAGCATTTTATTGAAACATTATTTTGTTGGCTTTAAAATATTTATTCTTTAAAAAATTAGTCGCTGAGGGCAAGGGAGGAGAGGGATTATAAGGCACCAGAAAGTAAATTAGTTGCTTTTCCAAGTATTTTTGTCACTGTTGTCCTTTACTAGAAAGGAGGTCAACTCTCCAGTTTAGTTTTTATCTTAGGTGATTGGCAAGAAGCAAAGAATTTTGATTCATGATCTTTTGGACTGTCTTGAGAAATTAAATGTGGCTAGATATGGAAAGGTCTTGATTTTATCAATAATTAGGTCCTAACAGTATGTAATAGAGGCATCGCTCAGTTATGAAAGAGGACACTATGTTTCTCTGGGACTTGGGCACTAACCATCTGATGGACATAGCTTCCTTACTTTTAGAGTACAGTCTTCCCCTGGTTCACTGTGATTAGAAATCACCCGTTATCAAGGGTTGAGTGTTATAGTGCAGCCTGTTATTTCAAATGTACTTAGCAGAGGCATAATAAATCACCATGAAATGACAAACACACGCTTCTCTAACTTCCTACTGTGGAACCAGATAAGTAGGAGAGCTTGTAGATTATAATCATTTGGTTGCAAAATATTCATGCATGTGTAATTTTCCACACAAAACCTGACAGGTGAAATAGTAACTGTTTCATGACTAACAGGTCATGAAATAGTAGAGAAATGAGGAATTTGCTCTCAGTTTGCCCCTCCCCCCCAAATAATCCCTAACAAACTATTCTATCTTCATCTTGTTATATAGGTGCTATGGTTTTGATGTGGTTTGTCCTGCAAAGGATCAAGTGTTGGAGAAATGTTCCTCATTGAAGTGATCGAACCATTAAAAGGTGGGAACTGGTGGGAGGTGGTTAGGTCATTGGGGGTGCCGCCCTCAGAAGGGGTTAATGCTAGTCTCATTGAGTGAGTTCTCTTAAGAGCAAACTGTTACAAAAGAGCAAGCCAGCTCCTGAGTCACTCTCTGGATTCCTGTCTCACCATGCTGTCTGCCATAGTGCTATCCATCATGTGATGTAGCCCAGGAGGCCCTCATCAGAGGCCGAACAGATGGAGCTGCCCTATCTTGAATTTTCAGCCTCTAAAACTGTAAACTAAATAAACCTCTTCAGTTTATAAGGTACCTAGTCATGAGTATTTTATTATAGCAACAGAAAATGAACTAATAAGATAGGCCATTTCAAAATTAAATAATGTTTGCTATAGATCTTGAGCAGAATGAATTACAGAAAAAAGTTGATGAATTATAGCTTGAAAATGAAAGCTGTTTGGTAACATGAAGATGGTATGAAATCTGATTGATTCAATAATCACTATCCATTTGAATTTTTTTCCTAAGAAAAACATCTGTAGCAATCTCTAAAAGATCAAGAAAAATGATGCTCTCTAATTTAGCTACTAGAATAAAGATGATTTAACATAAAATTTAAAGAACCCTAATTTTGTAATATCCTAAATAACCTTGAATTGTACACTTTAAGTGGGTAAGTTGTGTAAAATAAGAATTATATCTTAATAAAGCTGTTAAAGAAATGTTATGGATAACAAGAAATTTCGACCTAACTGAATGAGAAAGGTCACAGGTGATATCTGAGTGTTCCAATCTCATTCTTGAGAATTTGATTTGATTTGCTTCTTCCTCCTGAAAAAGCAAGTGTCTCATTTTAGTCTACACTGGGAGGAAACAGGAAGGGAACTACTGCTGCTGTTGGCTTATGAACTTTGTTTTTGCAGACCAAGGGTTGAACCCAGGGATTTGTACATACTAGGCAAGCGCTCTACCACTGAGTCACATCAACAGCCCTAGAAGCCACAGTACTAAGGTTTTCCTTCCAATATTTAAAAGAACAGTGGCAGGTGGTCCTTGGCAATACAGACAGCAATAGAAATACAGTAAACTAAAGAAAGAAAAGTATCCCTGTTTGTCATTTTTTTTTTTTGCTAGGGTTTCCCAAATTCTGAAACCATATAGAAACAAGCACCATTTGTCAAAAATTACCTTTGTCAGACAGTTGAGTGGCTAGATATCTGCTAAGTATGTTACTAGTGAATATGACTAGAGTATTCCACACAGTGAACATTTGTATTTCTGTAATCATCATCATGCAATAAAAATCCACTAACAATTTTCAAATGCTTACCAATTTCAAAAATACATTAAATGGAAAGTGACATTTTAAGTTAGGGTGGGTGCAAGTAGGAGAATCAGTTCTAACTTAAAATGGACTACAATGCAACATTGTAGGTTAAAAGACAACTCACTTGTCCCTTAAGGTGAATTCAATCTTATTACCATAATTCCGAAAGCTCCTAAAAAAAAAAAAAATTGAGTGCTCCAAAGATACAGTCTTGGTTTTTATGCTGTTTGACACTGTTGGGTAGCCTTTGCTTGCTATTTATGAGGACCATTTACTAACCAAAACTCAATATAGCAGGGAGGAGACAGATTAGGGAGAGTCCTCACAGGAAGAGGAGAGATTTATTTGACATCTCCTCAAGATAAATGAAGCCACTTCAGGAGAGAGAGAGAGAGAGAGAGAGAGAGAGAGAGAGAGAGAGAGAAAGAAGAAGAAGAAGAAGAAGGAGGAGGAGGAGGAGGAGGAGGAGGAGGAGGAGGAGGAGGAGGAGGAGGAAGGGGAGGAAGGGGAGGAGGAGGAGGAGGAGAAGAGAAGAGAAGAGAAGAGAAGAGAAGAGAAGAGAAGAGAAGAGAAGGAAGCAAGCCACACAAGGATAGGGCACTTGGATATTTTTAATTGTGAATTTAAGGGAAGTTATTAACAGAATAAAATATTCTCCCAGATTTAAAAAAAAAAAATTTCCTGAGATGCCACTGGTTTTCTCAAAAAGACTTAGGAATTAAAAAATAAAAGGTCAAAGCCTTCTTCAGCACAATCTTGTTCTGTTCCTAATGATTCTCCTGGAACAACAGTCAATGAAATCACCTTTAACACATCAGGGTTTGTTCTGGGCTGTACTTTCTGATTTCTCATTCCAAGACAAAGAAAGACTAAAAATCCAAAACAAGATTTTTTTTTTCCAAAACAAACTCTGTATTGTTTGAATGAGCCACTTCTCAGCTGTGTGAAAGGCTTGGTGGAGTTATTTTTATCTGGGGACAAGACATTCATTCTGGAAAGAGTTCAGATCCCTAATTTTATGATGAGCAGAAATATATACTGTTGGCGAAAGACTATGTTAACTGCAGTATCCCTGTCAGCACTTAGGTGCAGAACCCTCAGCACAACATAATTTTATGGATCTCAGGAATTAAGTCTCCTAGATGCAGTGAAGTCTCGATCCAGGTCATTGAATCAGTGCTAGAAGAACACAGATATTTGACGCCATCTAGATACACTTCACTTTTTTGCTCACGCACATTTTCTCAAATAATGAGCCTGCATGATGCCAAATGAATCCCAGTGTTTTTATTGGTTATTACTTCCACTAAACAATGTTAGCCAAGTAAAATGATTAAAAGTCAACTAATATTCTTGTAATATGTATATCCTATTAACCTATTTAAATGGGTATTTATATAGCAGTGTATTTTCAGGTTGCACAAATATAAGTCATTTATATTCCAAATATAACAATCACTTCTGTGTTAATCAGTACAACTCACAGATTCCTATTTCACAGCTGCATGTACTTAGAGGCTTAGTACAAAACCAAGACAAATGTGAAAGTATCCTCATTTGAACAGTTAGTGAAGCCTTAGAGGTGGGTGTCGGCGATGGGTATCCTCCTAAGTTCTACAATCTGGGAGTCAGTCAAGGTGCCTCCCTCCTGGCTGCCTTGACCAGATTCATTATCACTGACACTGAGACCAGCACCTGCAATGACAAAAGAATAAACATGAAAACAGTGCAGTGAGTTCTTGAGTTATATTAAGCCCAAACATGTTTATTTCTATATTATTTTTTTAAAAAAAGAACTATACATTTAAAATAGATATTAATCCCTATCAGTTATGGAAGTATATTGACATTGACTTTGGTAACTTTCAAACCGGAATTAATCTCTAAAGACACAAATTTGTGGTCTCCATTGTTGTTTATTTTTGTTTGTTTCTGCATGGTAGATGGGTAGAACTTACTACCAAGAATACTGTTTCTCAATTAAGGGCTTATCAAAATAAAAAATCTGGAGGTTTATGAGATTTTTTTCAGCAGGTGAGCAGGGTTTGTTGTTAGAAAACATAAATCCTCCAACCTCACAACTTCCACTGAGCCCAGCAGCTCCATTAGTTGACACTCAGTGTTGGTCAGTGATCTTCGAAGAAAAACAGGCACCAAAGACACTGGCTCTGAATGATCAGAGCTGATTCCAAGATGTAGGTAATTGTCTGGCTGTGCTGAAACAGATCCACACAGGGATCCTATGAAGCCAGCTTCTGTTAACTACAGACAGTACCTGATATCTGTTTTCAGGACACTCCAATACTCCTTTTTTTTTTTTTTTTTTTTTCACAATTCAGAATAATAAATTCTAAAACTATGCCAGACTAACACCTGTTCTTTTTTTTTTCCTGTAATACCTAGAACAACATGAACGCTCATGTATTGTTCTTTCTCTCTCTCTCTCTCTCTCATATACACACCACACACACACACACACACACACACACACACATGGGATGTGGTCACAGGGTATGCTTGTGTGAATCACCAGAGCTCACAGCTCCTCCCCCTCTGCTTGGCACCAGACTCCGCAAAAAAGGAGAAAATGAAAACCCAGTTTCCTGGGTAGCTGAGACATCTTTCTCAGTCTGAGATAGTCTGAGACAGAGGAGGGACAATTCTACAGAGTTGGCAGCTATGGGAAGATGGTGAATTTGCCTCAGCGTAACCTATGTGGAGAAGGAAGTGCAAACACACTGGTGCTCCTTCTGGCTGAGCCCTCCCTCTCCTGGGCCTCTGTCCTTCACACCCTCTCTGTTAAAGGCTGCTGTTGAAATTTCACTTCCTTCCTTTGCTTCAATGTCACATAACTTGCCCATCTCATCCTCTGATCTGCTGACTCTTTCCAGAGCTCTTCTGCTTTCTCTTGCATCTCCTCCTGCTGTCTCAGCATGGCAGCGCCTGTCTTAAGCCCTGCTTCAGAGCCAACAGGACCTTTCTGACCCTTGGTGCTCTCCCAGCTCTCCTGAATCATGCATGGCATTTGCCTGGCTTCTGAAGGAAAGCCTGTTCTCAAAGGACAAATGGACATGCTTCTCTGCCAGGGATATAGGAGGACTGTTCAACTTGAAAGAACTTCAGGGAATTGGTAAGATAGTGGCCATCCTACAAGGAGGAGGTGACCGAGACCGTGAGATCCATAGCATCTTTAACTGGGCAAGAACGAGCTCAAGGGCTTAGAAACAGAACTGCCCAACATGGGACCAGCTAGGAAGATCCAGGGAGGACCCCAAAATCAGCACCAAAGAAGAGCAGTCTTAATGATTTAACAGGTACCAACCCACAGTGATCTCAGAGTCTGCCTACTTTAAATCCCATAAGGAATGCTGTAATAAAGCCTTTGGTGACCACAGGGACAAAGCGCCCTAGAAAGAAAAGTTCAGAGTACTGAGTGCACTGAACTTGTTTAGTAGCCAAGGGCCCTGAGAGATGGAAGAACATTCTAGCCTCCCCTTGAGTTATTACATCTAAATGACCTACCTTGTCCTCCTTCCTAATGTCTTCCCAGTTAAAATAAACACCCAATATCCAAATACTAATCCGTCACAGAGACTCAGAAAGGGCACATATTACACATAAGAATGACTAAGCAGAACTGGGAACACAAACTAGGTCTATATCTTTGTCATTCACTGAGTGGTCTCAAATGATACTTGGCAGTAAGTATTATGATTTTCTCTAAGGTACTTTGGTATTTATCTTTTAAGCCAAAATTTTGAGAAAAACCCAGCTATTGTGATAACAGCAACTCTTCCTTTGGTGGACAGAGCAGGCAACTTTGAAGGAATTCATGCAATAATTTACATTAATCTTGAACTTCCCCTTTTCTTAATGTTGAAACACGATTCGGTTAGGAAAAGGGTGATTATTGGGCTGGGGATATAGCTCGATTGGTAGAGTACTTGCCTCACATGCACAAGGCCCTGGGTTCAATCCCCAGTACCACAAAACAACAACAACAACAATAAAAAAGGGGGGTGATTATTAGTCCTATTTTAAAGATGCAGAAACTGAGTGAAGATCAGAGATGTCCACTGAAGTGCCCACATCAGACCACAGGGAAGTCACAGAATGGAGATATCTACCAGCCTTGTGATCCCAAATGGAAGGTGTTTTCTTCTACACCATATTGCCTCTTCTGAGGACAGCTTTGATCTGTCAATTCCTTCATCATGAAGTTTAAAGTGTTCCTCTTTGTCTACAGAATAAATTTCAAATTCCTTGGCACATATTTAAATTCTTTCTAATCCCGTGCCACTGAATGTCATGGCACAGGAACAAGCAGGTGTTGTGGATTACATTGTGAACTTTTAAAATTATTATTATATATAACAATAAATTGAACCCAAGAAATAATTTATAACATATACTGAATCTTAACCCTGCCAGACACTGTCCTAGGTGTTTTACATAGATGATTTCCAAGCCCCATAAAAACCTACAAACTAATTATAATAATCCTCATTTGATAAATGAGGAAACTGAAAGGCTGAGTCCCTTGCTGAAGTCGCACAGTTAATAGACTGCAGAACTGGGATTTCAACACAGGGTTCTCTGACTTTGTGGCCCATTCTTAGTTTTCTTAGTTTTTAACAGTTTTCCAGTGTGAAAGGGACAAGAAGGTCATATTCATTCCTTCATTCTTTTTTCTGAGGAAAAAATTTCAAAATCTTTCCAAACTTGAATTTTTCCCTTTCATTCTCAACTAACTCTGATACACTACACTGCAGAAGTTCTTGGAGTTTTAACAAGCAACAGTGGTTTGATGTGTGATCTCTCACAGAGAAACTTGAGGAGTTTGTTTTGGGTCTTAATTCTGAATGTTTTCATTTGTGTTCAAAGACTTGTCATTCATTTCCTTCTAACTGAAGAAGAAGTAATATCTGGATTTCCAGGAGGGAAATGTTTACTGTGACATTTGAGTCATTGGCCTGAGGTAAAACTGGAAGCTAAGGCATTGGGGATGATGGGGAATCAGGCTAGTAGCTCTGGGAGAAGCTGTCTGTGAAGAGAGGCGTTTCTATGCCAAATATGCTCCAAACTTGACATTTTCTAGGATCTTGTCAGCTTTTGGATCTACATGAAAGTGTCAGTACTCAAGACAATTCTTGTTAGGAATGTAAATACAGTACATTCCCTTCCACTCTACCCTCACCCTCAGTGTAGACTGAGTCTCTCTTCTATTTAGCCTGATGCTTTTTCTTCCCTAAAATGAAGGCTGAACAAGGGTAACTGTTCCCATTCTCCTAAAGGCTTGGTTGGGGGCACTGATGATACATCAGATAGTTCTATTTAAAAACAAACAAACAATAATATCCAAGACACCACTATTTTAGAACTGATGGTCTCACTTGCCTATGGAAAGGCTGGTGCTCTTCAAGACCAACTAATGGAAGTATGTATTCTTTTTAGAGTAAAATGTGGATTTCTCATAGAAAAACACTTTATGAACTAGAAAATGGCAATAGTGGTTTTCTGGTTTTAAGCAAAATTCAGTATGGTTAAAATTCAGATGGGGAGGCTGGGGTTGTGGCTCAGCAGTAGAGCGCTTGCCTCACATGTGCGACACCTTGGGTTCAATCCTCAGCACCACATAAAAATAAATAAGTGAAATAAAGGTATTGTGTCCAACGACAACTAAAAAATAAGTATTAAAAAATTCAGATGGAAAACAGTTCATGACTGGCTTTGGAGTCAGGACTTCCTAGTTTAAACTAATATACTTGTTTTACTGTTACTTTGAAATTTGCAACAAAAACTGTACACCAACATGGTGGTCTCAAAAATATTGTCTTTTTCATTTTTGAATTTGGTTGTAGCTGTTAGAGGTGAAGATAAAGGCACATTTCTAAGTGCTTAAAAAGAAGTGATAGTGTTTTCCTGTTTGGAAACGGATTATCTGAGCTTTCTTTCCCTCTTAGAGGTCTAATCTTTCTCAGTTTAATGTAATTAGAAAGAGAATGTCTTAGCTAAAGAGACATTAAATTATCTCTACTATACCCAGTAAAGGCATTCTAACCACTGAATTTATATTTTATTTATTTATTTGTACAGGAGATTAAATCCATGGTGCTTAACAACTGAGCCACACCCCCAGTCCTTTTTATTTTTTAATTTGAGATAGGGTCTTGGTAAGTTGCTTAGGGCCTCACTAAGTTGCTGAGGCTGGCTTTGAACTCTTTTTTTTTTTAGAGAAAGAGGGAGAGAGAGAGAATTTTAATATTTATTTTTTAGTATTTGGCGGACACAACATCTTTGTTTGTATGTGGTGTTGAGGATGGAACCCGGGCCGCACACATGCCAGGCGAGCGCGCTACCGCTTGAGCCACATCCCCAGCCCTGGCTTTGAACTCTTGATCCTCCTGCCTCAGCTTCCTGAGTTGCTGGGATTACAGGTGTGTGCCACTACACCTGGCTCATTTCAGTCTTTTAATATGTGCTCAAATATCTCAACATTATTCTTTATTGAAAAAATAAAAAATAAGTTCTTAGAGTAATTGAAAGGGCACAGGAAATGTTATCAAAACTTGACTACTGAAAGACCTATTTGGTCCTCTTTCCAGGAAGTCATCCATCCATCCAAATGTAAAAGAAAAGCCTGTTCATACATTCAAGAAATAAAAAAACATTAGGTATCAAATTTCTAAGACACTAAGATGCCTTTAGATCAGTTTAAAAGAATAATGTAAATTTTTATTTTTAAACACCATAATTTACAATTCAGTAAATTTTATATTTTTGATACTCAAATACATATGAGAGACAAGATCAACCAGAAACTGTGGATGCTAGACAATTTGCATTTATGTTCAAAAGGGCAGCCATTGCTCAGCTCCAATGGAGCAGTGTAATCTAGATTTCAGGTATTCTGTTGCTAAATTTTTTCTAGAAATTCTGGGTTTTTATGGGCTGTCTCTAAACTTTTATATTGGGTCAAAAATATTAGAATGACATGGATCAAACAAAACACCATGTTTGGCTGAATCTGGCCTATAGGTCAATTGTAAATTCAGCTGTAGATGGAATGGCATGTGAATTGCTCCTTTATTTGACCTTATTCTGTGATGGAGAATGTCTGGGCGGAGTGCTTGGTTATTATAGTACCTTTTCTAAAAATACAAGGAACCAATGTTAGAGATTGTTATTTTTATCTTTTAAAGTATTTATTTCCTAATGAGCCTAGGGAACTCTGAGGAATGCTAAACTAAATCTATAAGTAAGCAAGTCATTCCATACATTCCTGAATCAAATGCATTTAGTACTTGCTATATGTATATATATATAAAACATGCAGATCTAATTGAATTATGCTCCAGGAATTCGTTTTATGTTTCCAGCGTCAGACCATCAACAACTGACAACACTGTATGTAGAACTGGGGACATAATTTGCCCTGAGCATGATTTTTAATCTGAAAGCTCCTTTTCAGTTCTAACTCCAATGGCTGTTTTATATAGCTGATCATTCTCTCTTTCCTAAAACTCTCTTCCCTCTTTTGTTTTTGTTCTGACTATGCCAGAGTTTCTCTGTGGGACCCTTGTCTATTTACTCTTCAGTGTAGTTATTATATAGGACTTTGTTCCTGTTTTTCTTCCCTTTCCTTCTCTCCCCTCCATTCCTCATCTCTTTCCCCTTCTCCTTCCACTCTCCCAGATCTTACCTTGTTTGTCCATAGCTATAGGTATAAGCTATATATAATCTCTGTGTGGATCACTTTCAAATATTAACTTCCATTCTGGACACTCACCTAAGATCCCAACCTGAATACTCAGGAGCCACTAGGCCTAACATCTAAGTCTTAACTCCTCAGCTTCCCCCTGCTGACAAAACATAAATACAAATAAACAAATGTCTGATTACTGTTCCTCAGTCACCCAGGGCAGCAGCAGGAGCTTTGCAACTGTCCTCTGGGTTCCTCCTCAGCGTTCTTCCTGTGTTATTCTTATTTGTTTTTACTCCTAACATTTGAGGCTTTGACCTCATTTCCTTGGACCACAATAATAAACTCCCAGTCTTTCTGATATTGCTTCTAAATTTACTCTTAGTACTTTCATAAAAGTTATTCAGCTTCAAAAACTGATGGGAACATGTTAGGCCTCTCCTCAAAAACCTTCATGGCTGTGTTCTACAAAAATCTCACTCCTTACCGTGATGACTGAACAGTAATTTAATATTATGCAAAATATCAACAAGTGTTCTGCTTCCCCAAATGAATCTACCAATAAATGTGCTTCAGAAATACCAGGTTGAGGGGCTAAAGTTGTGGCTCAGTGTCAGAGTGCTTGCCTAGCACATGTGAGGCACTGGGTTTAAACCTCAGCATCACATAAAAATGAAATGAAGAAATTGTGTCCACCTACAACTAAAAACTAAATATTTGAAAAAAAAAAAGATCAGGTTGAACTAAATAAAGTGGGCTTCTTTAGGAGTTTTAGAGCTACTAAAACAATAATATGTAGTAAGAATCTTTGCCATTTCTCAAATACACTTGATCAAGGGATCCTCCTATGGAGAAATGACTGTGAAGAGCTTCTTGCCAAACAGGCCCCACCCTGTCAAGCTTTTGGGCTTTGACTAATTCTATTTCCTCAGTTTGTAAGGCCCTTCTTCCATTATATACGTGTTTAAAAAGTACAGGTTCTTCAAAAATCAAAACAATATATCTCATAGCCAATCAAACTGTAACATAATCAAATGTACTTTTGAATAAATATTTCAGCAAGTTCACCTAAGCATGAACATATCTTTCTTATTTGGATATCTAGAAATTAAAAGTTCATATATATTTTAATAATAGTGACAGTTCAACATTTTTTTCTGAGGAAAAGAATGTTTTAAAACTACCCATTAGGGGCTGGAGTTGTAGCTCAGTGGTAGAGAACTTGCCTAGCATGTGTGAGGCACTGGGTTCAATTTTTCAGCATCACATATAAATGAATAACAATAAAGGCCCATCAACAACTAAAAAAAATTTTTTTAAACAACTTTAAAAAAATTACCAGTAAGGTTTGAGAAACCTAAAATTATCTCACAATTATCTTTTAAGAATAGAATTTTGACAAATGAATTACCTACTATATCTATACTATAAATGTAAACATGTAGACACTAGAAGAATACACATTAACTAATTTCCTGAAGAGCACATGACCTTTAATCATGTTTCCAGGGTCCTTCATGTGACTTAGCATATTTTTAGCATCACACACTGCTAAACTGTGGTGATTAGGACTGCATTTCTGTCCTCTGTAAGAGTTCCTCGTTGGGGTCACAGGTTGAGTGGGATTGACTATACAGCGTTTCATTGCCACTTTATATAAACATAAAGGGCAATGAAACTCGTGTGTGTTTGTGTGTATGTATGTATGTGTGTGTGTGTGTGTGTGCATGTGTATATAAAGGAGCAATGAAATAATATACATATATATGTATATATAAAGGAACAATGAAATAAAGGGTCAATGAAATGCTGTATGTGATGGCACTTTGAAAACTATAGAACTATACAACACTGCTTGAAGATTCTGCTTGAAAAATACTCCACAAGAAGATCTTTTTGGCAGGTCAGAGGCAAAATTCCCTCAGTGAAATCTCTACTAGCTATCTTACACAGAACTTGACTCAATAGTGTCTTGGTGTTTTAGCAAGATTCTAGAACAGAGAAATTTACATTTAGTTGGAGTATGCCTCATTCTTTCTTAAAAGTAAATTATATATTATTTTTAGGTTGTGCTATATTTGGTGCCAAGAACAAAATATTCTAGAGTTTAACTGGGATTAGGAAAGGGTCATGAGAATCAGGATGTGCGAAGGGTACTGATGGTACTGTTGCCACTTCGTGAGAAGATAAAAATAGTATCGTAAAGGAGTTCCTACTTCTAATGTAATTTGTGGGTTCATACATACCAGTTTTTAATGCAAATATCAAGTCATCAAACTCCTGTGACTCTTCATCCGCTATCAACGACCCCTGGCCATATCCTGCAGTAGGGAATGTAGCTCCATTTTGTGGACTTGTCTTCAAATCAGGGCTGGCTTGACTGGCTTGTTGGAAGGACGCTCTCTCCCAGTCAGGTGACACCTTTTGAATTGGGATAAAGGGAAAAGGAAACCATAATGTGAATGCATTCACATTCATTTTGAAATGCGTATTAACAATTTATTTCCACATCTCATTATAAAGACCTAGTGAAATAGCTATTGAATTGTTTTTAAATTAAGACCTTTAGTTTTATCTTAATTCTTTAGGAAATTATGTCTTTCCTTGTATCAATCTAATCTGGTGATTTAAATCATTTCTGTATTAGAATTACATGTAGATTTCTGTCCTGTAATGTGTACAGAAATAAAACTAATTTTAATCTAATAAATATACTTTTTTATTTTTTTAAGATGTGCAGAAGGAAATTCTGTTATGTACATATACATACATATTAGAGACTACTCCTAATCTTTAATCTAAAATACATTTTAAATATAGTGGTTATCTATAAGAACACACTAAATTGAAAAAGAAAGGTTTTTTAAACCCCTCCTTGTTTTCATTTAAATGATTAAGAAAATAAGTTCTATCATTAAATGTTTAAATGTACTCATGTTCCTCTATGTTACTGGTAAACAATTCCTTAATCCTTCCTTTCCTTTCCAAGGCTTTCCTTCTGTGAAAGTCTTTTTATAATGCCTCCGACAGTCCCTCCTAGACAGCTGGATCAAGGCCAGTTCCAAGTCTCTGAGGAATGCAGAGCACACATTGAGCTATGTGGCTATGCAACATCCCAATGAACACTCTAGCAGTGGCTCTAGCCCAGGAATTGGACCATCATAGCTGCTGCTTACTAGGATAAGATTTTTTAAAAAATTTTTTATTTCTTTTTTTCAGTTATACATAAAAGTAGAATATATTTTGACATACATACACAGAGTATAACTTCCCATTTTTGTGGGTGTACATGATGTGGAGTTCCACTGGTAGTGTATTCATATATGAACATAGAAAAGTTATGTCTAATTCATTCTACTGTCTTTCCTATTCCCATCCCCATCCCTTAACTTCATTCCCCTTTGTCTAATCCAGTGAACTTCCTCTCCCTGTTTATTGTGAGTTAGCATATCAGAGAGAACATTCAGCCTTTGGTTTTTTGGGGATTGGTTTATTTCATTTAGCATGATAGTCTCCAGTTCCATCCATTTACCAGCAAATGCCATAATTTTCTTCTTCTTTATGGCTGAGAAATATTCCAGTGTGTGTGTGTGTGTGTGTGTGTGTGTGTGTGTGTATGTATACTTTAGTTGGAGTATGCCTCATTCTTTCTTATCATTTATATATGATAATGTGATATATATATATATATATATATATCACATTTTCTTTATCCAAATATCTGTGGAAGGGCACCTAGGTTGGAATCCATAGTTTACTATTGTGAGTTGAGCTGCTATAAACATTGATTTGGCTGCCTTACTGTGGTATGCTGATTTTAAGCCCTTTGGGTATATGCAGAAGAGTGGAATAACTAGGTCAAATGGTGGTCCCATTCCAAGTTTTCTAAGGAATCTCCATACTGCTTTCCAGAGTGGTTATAGCAATTGGCAGTCCCACCAGCAATGTATGAGTGTACCTTTCCCCCCACATCCTTGCCAAGATTTATTGTTACTTGTATTCTTGATAATTGCCATTCTGACTGGGGTGAGATGAAATCTCAGAGTATTTTTAATTTTCATTTCTTTAATTACTAGAGGTATTGAACATTTTCTCATATATTGGATGACTGATTGCATTTCTTCTTCTATGAAGTGTCTGTTCAGTTCTTTTAGCATAAGGTTTTCTGAGAGACTGTAGGGGTACTTTATACTGAGAAAAATGACCAGAGGACTTTAGAAATTACACTGAAAGAAGCCGGGCTTGGTGGCGTACGCCTGCAATCCCAGCAGCTTGGGAGACTGAGATAGGATTGCAAATTCAAGGCCAGCCTCAGCAATTTAGTGGGGCCTCAACTTAGTGAGGCCCTCAGCAATGTGGTGAGATACTTCCTCAAAAAAAAAAAAAAAAAGGGGATATGGCTCAGCTCAGTAGTAAAATGCACCTGAGTTAATCCCCAGTAAAAAAAAAAAAAGTACACTAAAAGGAGATGATTCCTTAAAATATTTAATGTGAAGTTGATCATCTTGATGAGCACTGTCCAAAAGAACTTTCTGCCATGATACAAATAATTTATGTCTATGTTCTTGAATACCTAAAGCTACCAGACACATGGTTGTTAGCGCTTAAAATGTGGACAGGGTGAAAGACAAATCGAATCTTTAGTGTTTTAAAATTTTAGTTTAAATTTAAATAGCCACATGCAGATAATGGCTATTTTATATGAGTGTTCATATCTAGACAAATGTTAGATTAGCTAATCATTCACAAAGACAAAAAAAAAGTTTTTGAAGATTCATTTCTGAACTTTTCATTATAAAAATATCTGGGTTTTTTTTGGTGTCAATTTTGATGAAATAATTCTATTTTTTAAGAACTTTTGGGTAACAGAAATGGTACTAGATTTCCAAATATTTAGAGGTTCTATAACCTTATCTCAAATTTTAAATATTATACTTGAACTTACTCATCTTATAGCTAAAATGTGCATCCTTTGATCAAAATATCTCTCTATTTTTCCCACCCACAGTCCCTGGCACACACCTTTTTACTGTTTCCCTATTATCAGTTAATAATTCTTTACATGAAATTTCCTTTGTTTCAAATATGTATATATATACATATATATGAATATAAACAATATACATATATATAATGTGTGTGTTATAGCATTTATATACAAATACAATTTGACTTGTGATCATTTACCTTAATTTTAATCTGACAGGAATAAAATTACTTTCTATATTGCCATGGAGGACAAAAAAAAGTCTCTGGGCAGGTAGATCACCTATCTATTTCCCTCTCTCCCTCCTTCTTTCCTATTGCTTGATCAATAAGCTGTTTTCCTTTCAGACAAATGTATTTTGGATTCCTGTTATTTTGCAGGACACAAAGACAAATGCCATTTCCCTTGGCTACTTAATACAGAGAGGGCAATATGTGCTGCATGAGGAATGATAGCCAAGAACATCTCAGGCCCCACAGAGATTGTCATGGATGTGCATTACCATCTCTTCCTGGCTAGATGTATCCAGGTTTGCCTTAAAATCTGAGCAGTGGTCTCATGCTATGGGTTGCATGAAAGGTTAGTGGCAATGTGATTCAGACACAGGAAATCAAACTGATGTGGATAGAATGCAGAGAGCTGCAGGAGGTAGATTTTACAGATGAAATCCTGGCTGGATTTTTCAGTAGTGCCACAGAAGCACTGGTTCTGAAACTTCTTCGTTCTAAAATATTTTCTAGTCTTTAAGGTGAAAGAAGTTTCAGCTTATTTTCTTTTCACTGAGTGTTTGGATGAAGGAGGAAAACTGTGGGAACATTTTTAGGAGAAATACTATTTTATAAATTACTTCTTAGGAGGACTCACTCACTGTCATATCAAATTAAAAAAGATCTTGTTAAATTTTGCTGTCTTTGACTTCCCATTACAAATTACTAGTCAGTATAGATCACAGTGTAAGGAAGAGGAATAATTACGAAACAAGTATGTTACTACTACCCTGAGGAAAGAAAGGTCCAGAAAGCAGAGGATGTCAACAGGTAAAGAATATAAAAGTTGTCAAGCATCGTTTATCTTATAATTTTTTTTTGACATGAGGAGACTATCAAGGGGGGGTGGGGATAAGCACACCTCTTCCATAGCACTGATAAGATTCTGGGTGGACTTGCTGATTTCACCCCCAGCAGGAGGCATTCCACTCCCTGGGGTGAAAAAGGCTGTGCTGGGTCCTGGGTGGCCATTCATTTCCACGGTATAGCTGGCCTTCATAGGGCAACACATTTGGTTGTGTAGAATGAAATAGACCACAAAAACATAAAGTCCCTGCAAAAGAAAAAAAAAAAAACATTAATATGTCAAAGGAAGTTCTGCCATTACACTGGAGAATAAACACATTTGCATGCAGAATTGATTTTCTACAAATGTTCTTCAAATTCTATCAAAAGCCAAGAATTCTAGAACATGTTAGCAGTATAGCAAGAAGCCACTGTAAATCCAAATGTCACAAAACGTTCATCAATGTCCTTTAGGAGAACTCACTTTTCACTGATAAAATAGCTTTCTATCTTGGTTAAAATATAAGCCCTACAAATACATGAAAGTAGATAGAATGGTAGAGGTATTTCTGATTAGCTGTGTACATTTTGCTTTAGAAAACAAACCTCTTGGCATGGTTAGGACTCGCCTCCGCAAGACAGTGGTTGGTTTCCAGGAATTCAAGATGGGAGCATTTCCAAAATGTGAAGCTATTCCACTGTGGGTGAAAGTTCTGGAAGACCTGAGAGATCCAGAGATGTTCCAGGTCCAAATGCAACTGCTGGAAGCCCTGCTCGGCCAGCCGGCATGGATCTTGAATCCCTTACAGTAAGCAAGTGAGGAAGGCCATGCTCCAGCAGAAGGCTCTGGAATCTTCAGATCCCCTAAGGTCGTGGTTTATGGCTCCCACTTGTTGAGCCCCAGACCAAGTGGATGCTTCAGTCCCTGGCTGAGTGGCAGCACCAGTGGCAGAAGCCAGGAATGCTCAAACTTGGGGAAGCCATGAATACCCTTCCAACTAGGCCCTTGGATGAAGTGAAGCCAGTTTCCAGCCAATGTGATTGGAACCCATATGTAGAAATTAGGTTGTGGCAAGAGCTGGAGTGGGGCTGGCTTGTTTTAAACTCTGCTATAACCTCTACAAAGGAGGTAGGGGAAAACCAAGTATTTTGGAGTCTCTGCCTTGCTCTGAGTCTTAATGTGTATTTCTCTTTCCAAGGTAACTAATGAAAGAACAAAGTTTTAAATAAGGGAGGAAAAAAAAAAAAGAAAGCAAATCTTTGCCTTTCTCACTTTCTCTATCTATCTCACTTTCTCTCACCCTCTCTCTTAGTAAAATGGTTGAAGTGGGAGTACCAAATGCTCCACTCACATTGTAAATATCTGGAAGGGCAGTATTAACTGAGCCTCCTAATTTCCTTTGTGTGTCTCACCTACTTATCGCATTTGGAAGTACAATCACTAGGTAGGGACTCCGAGGAATTCATTGGATTGCTTAATATTTAGCATGCCTTGCTTCTCAGTACATGTTATGAAAGAATAATAAAGCTATCTTATGCATTCTTCGAGAGCTGCCGGCCCTTTAAATTCTTTTGCAATCTGATCAAACTCTTGACAATGTCTATGCTGACGTCACAGATAGCAATTCACATTCTGCATTTGTGTTCTAGACATTCCACACTGGCTCTCCTTCATGATTTCTACAAGGGGTCCACTGTATACTTGTAATGGTGCTTCTATAAAGCTTGGTAATTTTGACCTTTACAATCAGCCAATAAATGTGTTAAATCGTGCCTTTTGTATCTGTTCATCCTAGTGTTTTAAGTTTTGGATGCAGAATTCTTAAATCAATACACAAAGATATACTCAAGACATGCAGCTAATTAAAGACCAAAGACTTAACCTCATGATTTTTTGGAAAACATGAATAAGTGTCTTCATTTTGTGAAATTTGTACTCTCCTATGGTTGCTAATATTTCTAAGAGTGTAGAAGCAACAATACACTTGTGAGCCTGAATCCCCAACACCCTTGTTTTGGGAACTAAACCCAAGGACTTGCATATGCTAAGCATGTGTTCTACCACTGAGCTACATCCCCAGTACCATGAACCTGAAACTTTTATCTATGGGTATAAATAGTAAAAAGTCTATTAGACTTAAGAATTGCAAATAATTTTTATGTAAAATGAAATTAGAGGACAGTACAAAAGGTACACATACCAGCATTTGATCTCTGCTGCCATTTCTGGAATACTGTGATAATATAAGCCCTTCTCCCCTTTCTATCAGAATGATACCTTCTTGGGTTGTGGTATTATTAAATTAAAATCAATGGTGTAACTGCTAAAAATATTTTTGAAAGCAATTTCTCTAAACCATATAAACATTTGTATTCATTTTTATTTACCATTTATTTATTAGGGTTGTTTGTTCTTTTGGAAACAATATTCTAAGTTAGGTAAGTAAATTTGCTTCATGTCCAAATGATGTTGTGAGTAGTAGCAGAAGAAAAATCTTCCTAAAAATACTCATACACATCCAAATTTTTTCTTGTACGACTAACTTTTCACATGGCTATGACCTAATTGCATTGGCCACAGCAATAGACAAAACAGGAAAAAATTTAAACTGTCAGCCTTAAAAACTGTGCAAACGTTACTGATTTATTTCAGGATTTCTGTAAGTGCTGTGAAGTGATAGGGTAAAAGCTGGATCAGGAAACAAAACCCATGCTTTAAAACTCATCTCTAAGGACCCATTTGTTTAAAACTGCACATTCTCTCTCTTGTTTGTTTTTCTATCTAGCCTTTTGTGCTTCAGGAAAGGAACTGCCTGCTGAAAATAACTTGCATGTGAAAACTGTATTTTTTTTTTTCTAAAAGCATAGAAATATACAGTAAATATTTTGAAACTTTTAGATGTGCCCCAGGAAACATAAACACTGTTAAAATGGAAAGGAAAGAATGTTTAAATGCAGATTGTATGACATGAGCCTGTGTCCAGACCAGGCTGGGCAAATATAGAAAAAGGACCTTCATTATCCAAAGTACTCAGCTGTGGAGGTTTCTGACCTCAGACTAAAAACAAGTTCCCATTCCAAATACTGTTGGATCTCAAGCTCTCATCTGTATGCTGATCTGGAAAGGAATTCTGAGAGAATCTGGAGTCTCACTTATTCGGTCCAATATTGCTGATTACCCATCAGGCACTGAGAAGCAAGGAAAAGACATTTGGCTCCTGCTCTCTAGCTGCTCACGAATACAACAATGTCTTACCAAGTAACAAGTTAACTGTTTCAGAAGCAGGACATATATAATCCATCTGTGCTTCCTATTCCTTACCACAAAGGCTTAAAAGGAAGAGAATTCTTTCTATGTACTGTCTTTCACTTTGTCGGTCCTCCTATTACAATCATGAAAAATGTTTTCAAAAGTCTTTAGATTATATCTGGATTGATCCTCATCATGACCAATTCTGTATTTCTTTTCTTTTTATCTTTTTTTTTTCTTTCTTTCTGTACTAGAGATGGTACCCAGGGCCTTGCGCATGCTAGGCAAGTGCTCACCCACTGAGCTATATCCCCAGATATTTTACTTTTAAGACAGAGTCTCCACAAATAGCCAGGCTGGCTTTGAACTGAACTTTGGATCTTATGCCTAAGACTTACGAGTAGCTTAGATCACAGGTTTGTGCCACAACACCTGGCAATTCTGCATTTCTTTTGAGTGGAAATTAAAACTTATTATCCAACATTCAGTGAAACACAAATGATAGTCTAAATGATTATAAGTACTCTTCAAATCACTAGGGAGCAAAAAAAGCACAGGAGATTCTAGTTGCCATCTCAATAATTTCTATCAGTACAATAGTTACCATGGCACAAATTTAACATGAAGCGGTAGTAGGGGAGAAGTGGTTAAAACAGGAAGGTGATTCACCTGGGTTTTACATTTCTGAGATCATTTTACAAGTTCTCCAAGGCTTAACAGCTCCTAGTGAGGGATGCCTAGGTTTCAGATGAGCTTTCCTAATCAGTCACATCCTTCAGAAACAGTGCAGAATAAGACACTCAGAATACATGGTATCTCCATTGGAATTGATCTTTCTGCAGCTCAAAGATTACAAAATTGGGTTTCAAAAGAGAGAGAAGAGCAAGGATGACTCCTATTAAACCGCAAACTTCCAAAAAGTAATTCACTGTATTGTATTTTTTAAACTTATAGTGTGATCTCCAGCATGTAGGTGGAGCTTAAGAAATATTTGTTAAATAAAAGACAATGGTTGTAAATTTTCATCAGTGAGAGAGAATAGAAGAGGTGAGGACAGACAGTCTGAGGCATGTGTTGGTTTTAGTCCTCTAATTCTTTTGAAACTATAGCCAGATGATTCAGGAGTTGTTCAATACAACTTCTGGTTCTGCTCAGTCTTTCTGTTTTACATGTCACTGTGCCAGGACTCTTCGTGGGAGAATGAAGTCTCATGGTCAGGTCTCTGTTCCTCTGGGTAGTGTCTGGCTGGAGGTGGGGCTGCTGTGTGCTAAACCCTCCCTCAGGTGACTGTCAGGCTCTTCTACTGGGGCTTCTATTGGCTATCTCTGGCTCTTCTACTGGGGCTGGGTTTGCAGACTTCAGCTACTCTTTCTTATGGTCTTGCCCTCCCCTTGGCAGATGCCCCTGGGCATTCTCCATGATCCCTTGCTTTTAGCTTCCACTTGCTCTTGGGCTGCTGACCTGCTGCTGTTGTGCACCACCAGTGATTTAGCAGCAGACAATGAATTTCATCCCAACGGCAGACTTGAAAAGACAAATGCAGTGTCTTGGCATTTGTATTTCTTTTTAGGTGTGAGAGAAGTAGGAATTTCATCTTTAATTGATTCATCTTTTAAGTTGTGCTTAGTTTTAATATTTAAAGTTACTTTTGTTAATAGTCTTATTTATAAGAACCCATAATCCAACTGTGTATTAAATATACAGAGAAAGGAAACAAGTGGGTTTACCTTGGTATTTGTTGGTTAGTAAGCACAACTGGAACACTTAGGAATCTTGGGGAGCAGTTACTGCTCAAGAACTTTTAAAAATATTTGAATGGGATAAATAATTACCAAATATTCACCAAAAACTATGTCAAGTTCTTCTGTAATTCCTTACTAGGTTAAGGAAAAGATAATGTATCTGAATAGATAACTTATCTATTCAGAACTAGTAAAGTCAAAACAGAAGTCTGTGGCTTTAGTCACGTTCATGACTAAATATGTGGGAAGCAGCAGGTCTTCAGTTTTTAGGTTTAA